CGATCAAAATTTGAATTCACTGATTGGCTATTTCCTTTTTAGGAGTTTGTATTACCGGCACAAATAAGTAAAGCCCCCTAGTGACAACATTGAATCGCAGATCGAATGGTCAGATTCTCATGGTCGATGTTACACGGATATCCTAATATCTTCGTAGCAAATAAGTAACATAATTTAAAAATCGTTTATATAGGGCAGTCTAAACGGTACACCCCAATTAGTTTAATAATACGAAGAATTTTAATATAGATATATGTTACCAAAAAACCTTTGTTAAAAAAGAACAGATTAAATATATTAATTAAATACTTAAACTACATGACTATCTATTGCAAGCAATGACTTTGTTAATTAGAAATGACGTGAATTATAATCCAACACATTTAAATTTATACAAATTCAATATCTAATTAGGATATTACGGCATTACGGCATTACAGCACAAAAGTTTTACGGCAATTAGATGCTATGCCATAAATAATTCTATCACGTGGTAAAATGCCGTAATGCCATAATTCAGTAATTCTGCTAACAACTATAAGTTTATTGCACTTTGCAAAGGTTAACTAACATTTTATAAAATGATTGCGATTGCTAAAGCTGGTCAATTTATTATCAGATTTATGATAAATTGGCCAGCTTTAACAATCGCAATCACAGTCACAACCACAATCATTTTATAAACCTTAGTAATCAGGGGGTACGGAATTTTGCAAAGCACAACAAAACAGGAACGGATTTTTTGGCGATGTTTTGTTCGTGATATCAGGCTCAGTTGAGCTGAACATATCTATTCAGATTCGGTGTTCTAATTATAAAACCACTGATCACAAACCATATTACACGTTACTAGATAAAATATGCGTCAAATGTTATATTTGAAAAATATATAATGGTATTAATTTTGTTAGTATTGTTTGGCCAGTATACTGGTGCCAAGAGTAACGACAAGAAGATGCGAATAATTTGAAACAGACCAAAGCATTTAACATAATGTATTAATATACTGTATATACTGTATTTACAATATATATCAAAGTTATAACCGTTAAATCGAAAGCCTTATATAGATATCTGTATATTACAGTTTTAATACTTTGATAACTATAGGTGTACAAGTGAAAACTTAGTTTCTCCTATTGGACCCGGGTAAAAATCGTTATACGACTATTCGAAATCTATAAATCTATAATGAATTACCCGGATAATCCAGAAGATTTAAGATTTAATACTATCCGGGTGAACAATTTCTCAGGATATTTTACTACATATATACTTTAGCTTCAAAAAAAAAAAAAAAAAGACTTTCCCATATCCGATATTGATATGACAAATTAATGTTAATACTATACTACACTATTTATAAAATTTCCAAATGGTTCTTTTTATTTTCCATAAATGTAAGACTAGCTAAAAAAGTAAATATTAATATGTCATTAGCTTTTGATTTTTTATAAATTAAAGTCTTTGTGCAAGCAAACAATGAACATCTGTTCAATCTCTTAGTCGTTGTGTAAAATATCATATTCAAAGAAAATTACAAATAATGACTGAAATATTCAGATGCACAGTCAGCTTTCTCTATAACGAATTCTGGGTATTGGGTGGGCTCTTAAGAAAACATAGTAATTCTAAATAACGAACTTTTTTTTTTCTAGAACCATTAGCTCGTTATAGAGAGAGTCGACTAAATAAAGAATTTTAGCAAAAATGTCATCGAATATGCGTTTAAACGGGACTCGCATAATTTTATTATTTTTCGTAATAATATTTATAAAGTTCAGCTCCGGTCAAACGACAACAACACGAACTTCTGCAGGTACAGAAGTGATATCTACAAATATAACAACACAAATTTCTTCAACTTCTGAAATTCTGATAATGATTACATCTACAATTATAACAACTCAAACTTCTGCAACCTCAGTGATCACAGAAATGCAAGCATCCACAAATTTTACAACTTCAGAGGCTCCCGTAACGACTATCAACCAAGCACCTGCAATTTTTACAACTCCAACTTCTGAGAGTCCTGTGATGACACCAACAACTGCATCTAAAGAGACAACACTGCAAACATCTATAGTGCAGACAGCTGCTCCCGTTTCTGAGAAGCCAGAACCGCTTACAAGTTCATATTACAGTCCACCCAGTAGTGGAAGACCGCCGATAACTCTACCACCAACAGAAACTACAACAACTATTAATAAATGCACAGATACAAAAAATTGCCATATTGAGTATGTTCTTGAAATCTACTTTGAATCTTGTAATTTAATGCTTTGAACTAAATTTTTATCAATTCTCTCAACAGCACTGAAACAAAAGCTTCCGGAAAAATATTTACAAGTACAGCTGCGGATCAAAAAACTTCATTTGGAACTGATAAGACAATTACAAAATTCACAACTACAACGTATATACAAACTATTACACAAATATTTCCAGGATACACAACAACTATAACTGTTACAACTAATGGAAATGTACAGACATATGAGACATATTATCCACCCAGTACTGTCGTTGTGTTTCAGCCAGTGACTGCTACTGCACCTATAGAAGATACTTATGGTACACCTAATAACATTGGTACTAGTTTTAAAGATAATAATGGATTAGTAAATATTATTTTGAGTTTATGGCTTGTAAGTTGGAGTTTAGTATACATGATTTTAACCTAAACTTTATTGGTAATTTTTGGTCATTATAATTTAACATTATTTTGTTTCTTAACATTTAATGATTGTTTATATGTATGTTATTTATATATATGGGATTGAAAAAACCATGATGTGTTGGCCATTCGCATTTGATAAAGATCACATTAATTCAAAATAAACCTTGCTTACAAATTTAAAAATGTGTACCTCTCCTTCTCTAGTACAATTGCGAGCTTACTAACTGCTAGGCTGGCTTGTATGATAAAGTATGCGTATTAAAATAATGATGAATATATTTAGGGATATAGTGGAACTATAGTATTATGGTTTATGGTGTAATTATTTCGCATCATCTTTATTCCAATTCTTAGATCCTAAAAAATGATTAGCTCACTATTTACCGTTAATGAAATTTATATAAGCACGAACAGCTCCTTAAAAATGTATTTAGTAATGATTTATCTCCCTTTCACTAACAATTGATATTCGAGTCTAACCTTGATACCCATCTATATTTAGACACAGTATTCGTTCTATATATAATGCAATCCCCTTTCACTAAGAATTGATTTTCGAGTCTAACCTAGTGATGGAAAAAATGCGCATTTTATAATAACATGCGCATGAATGCGCATTAATGCGCACGTTTCCGCAATCATGCGCACGCATGAAACCCATCTATAGTCTAACCATGATACCTTTCTATACTAGACTTATAGCCATTCGTTCTATATAATTTATGGTAAAAGTAATATGTATTTTACCCCTCTAGCATAACCACTTAAAACATTTACGTAACAATATTATTGTTACTCGGTATTATATGAATTTTCAAGATGGATTTTGTTATAAAAATTTTTATTATATTAAATGTATCTTAATAAATATTACTTTAACAATCATTTAGAAATTTATTTTCTTCGAACCTAACATTTGTTGCTCCGCTGCCAATAAAATTTGTACTGATTTTCACTATATATTTATTATTACCGTTTTTACTGTCTTGACATCAATCCAGGTTGTTCACCTAATTTATGGTAAAATATCGTCAGAAAGATTGTAAATTTAGAATTAAATATACAGCTAAAAATTTACCAAATTCTGTTACGTATTTGTTTGTGCTGCGGGTGAAATCACTTGTCAAAAATCCAATACTGAAATACTTTTAAGTAGAATATCTTACAAATCCAATATTTGGCAGAAGATAAATAACTTTTCTCTAAAACATTTCAGTCTGGCTCACAACATAAATTTGTAAAACTTTTGCAGCAGATTTCGTAAATATAATCTTTTTAATTGAGATTGCGACTTTTATTTACTAACTTATGCTGATGATTGCTGATGATAAGCTTTTTATTAAGCCAAACATTATGTTTTTAATGTATCATGTACATATTATTTAGGCGGCAATTTAACAAATAAATTTGTTCAAATATCAAACTGCGTTTCTGAATTCATCTTGGGAATTATGCATAATATGAATACTATATTAATTACGTTATTCCACATTAAATTAGGCTGTTTAAAAATGTTCAAGAAATTTTATAATGATAAATGGTTTATAATATTTTTTTCGAGATTAACATTTGTATAATCGTTGATAAAAAAAAAAAAAAGAATTATTTCGTTCTACCATTCGTACACGCGTGATGTCATTTGTCTCTTAAAAAGAATAATTATATTAACTATATTATAGTTAGTCATATAGTATTGTCACTCGCCAAAATTTACTCCATTATTTTCAGTTTAGTTAATACAGTACATTGGTCATATACCAGATTTAATTAAAAAAAGGAATACACATAATAATAATACAATAGTTTTATTAATTTATGTGGACAGGTTACCTATGGCGTAAAAAACGAATCAAATCCATCTTGGTTGTAACTGCTAGGGCCCATTTCCTTTCACTATCTGTAACAATGGCAAAACTATGCTTCTCAAAAAACTTTGCTAATTCATCTAATGGAGTGTCGGGTGTGATTATTTGATACGTTTGGCGGCGTCTTTGATTCTGTGAATTTCTACATCCAAAGGTAAACATCCATTTAGAAACTTCATCTGTTAAGATCGCATCACCTGAGTCTAACTTATCTTGAAGAGATGTTAATGATACATAACCAAGAAGTTTACGATGCGAATCGGTCACTGGTAATTGTGAAAATTCTCTTTCAACCATTAGATCAAGTGCATGGGCTACTGTTACATTAGGGAGTACAGTAACAGCTGCTGGTAATTGGAGGTCTTCTACGCTTGCCTATAGGTAAAAACACTCACATTGTTAAAAAGATAGTAAATGACAACAATATGATAAATTAAGCCATAATAATGATATAAAAGCTTCTGATTACCGCTCTATATTTTTCCATTCTTTGGTACTCAAGTTTCTGAATAGTTTGCTCATCCATCAAATCATTTTCTAAAAGCCAATCTTCTGATAACAAAGTACTAGAATAATTTCGCGCTGTATCATTCAAAATACAAAGTATACGCACTTTGGTGTCTGGAAGGACATTCTTTTGTGCATAAGATAAAGCTGCACTAACAACGGATCCTGATGATGGTCCTATTCAAAAAATTTATGCTCAGTACCAATTATTATAAAAGTGTATATATATATATATATTAATATATATCAATGTTAAACAAACATACCAGCCATAAATCCTTCACTAATCAATTTTCTTGCCATAGCAAATGATTCTTTATCACTGATATTTGCCCATGCATCAATAAGAGAATAATCCAAAATAGGAGGCGTGAAATTATTGCCAATATCCTCAACTTTTTGTTCCTTTTAAGATGTAAGAGGTTCACTTAAGATAATCTGGAATAATTTATTAAAACAATATTTGAAATTTCTATTGTGATAAACACCTTTGTTGTTGACAAATCAGTCAATTTATTTTCTTGTATTCTTGAATATTGAGGTTCCACAGCCAGAATCTAAATGTATACCAAATAAGGTGTATTAAGTGACTACTTTAAAAAAGTATCATTTTACAAATTTATGATTATGTGTATTAAAAATTAGACTTTTCTGAACCATTCGTAATTAATATTTAAAATAATTTTTTAAGTACCTTTAACCCTGGTATTCGTTCCTTAAGGTTTTTAGCGAGTCCAGTTATAGTACCTACAATGATAAAAGTTAGTTGATAGTTTAATAGGTTTAATAGCAGACAATAATTCTAATTCGCACCTCCAGATTCTACTCCAACAACAAGAACGTCAAGATTCCCTTCAACTTGCGTATAAATTTCTTCCGAAGTTTCTTCGTAATGTGCTTGTGCATTGCTTTGATCTGTAAACTATTAATTTTTTTTTCGTTAGTATTAATTACAAATTAAATAATTTAAATTATATATTTAAAATTGTTATAACTTTACTAAATGTTTACCTCATTTATTACAACTGAATTTGCAATTTCTGATGACAATTTTATCGCCAAATCAAAGTTACTTTCTGCATGTCCAGGTCTAGCTTCATTTGGAGTTCTTATAATTTCAACACCTAACGATTTTAAAATACGAATACGATCGATGCTTGTACGTTCTGGCACAAGTGTGATGGTTTTATAGCCTTTTCTTTGAGATAAAAGTGCAATGCTTATGCCTATTTTTTTTTTTAAACAGATTTGCTTTATGATACAACCCGATTTTCCTTTTTTTTAAAAAAAAAAAATTTTTTTTTTTTTACTAACCAAGATTACCACTTGTAGGTATTATTAAAGTTGAATTCGGTCCAATTTTATTGGATTTTTCAGCGTCTGTTTATTATCAACAAAATCTGAGTATTATATTGAATTTAATCCAGCAAATTATAATATTATTTAATATAAAAAAATCTACCAAATAATATTTTTTTGGCTACACGGTCTTTAATGCTTCCTGACAAACAGTTTGTATATTCTAATTTGGCTAAGAATTCTATATTATTCAATGTTGATAGAGACGTATCAGAACTAGTGTTGGAAATGTTTAACCGAACTATTGGTGTGTTGCCGATTGTTTCAACTATATCATTGTATATTGGTGGTGGCGGACGTTTTGACATTTTATTTTTTTTTTTAGAGGTAAAGTCTGGGATAAAGAAAATCTAAATTAAAACATCGGTGTTACTGACTTTAAGTCTACTTTCATGTGACTTTATGTGACACGGTTTTGTCGATCATGCATATCAAATATTAATAATACTACTGTACACATCAAGCGTAGTTAATTAATGTGACAGATTAAAATTAATTCAGGTTAAAATGAAATAAGGGATAGTGTAAAATAGACAAACCACTGCAAAATACAAATTTTGAGTGAGCATTTTTTTAGGGCTAGGGTTAGGGTTTAGGTTATATTTTATAATAAACAAGTATGAATGGGGTTTAGGTTTTTACTCACAAGTTTTCATATCAAGATAAGAATAACAATTAACCAGGGTTGAGCAGCTTCTATGTCCAATGAATTTTACCGACACCGGACAAATAAATTTGTCCAGTGTCCATTGATCTATTGACATATACAGTGTAAAAATTGTCAGTATATTACTGTCCTAATTATTTAGTTTGCTTGACTCTGAACAGAGGTTTCATCGGACAACTCGCTTGTCCGATTGCCCAACCCTGCAATTAACTGACCGCACGAGTTATCGTTATTGTTACAAATATGAAATGAAATTGAAAAAGATCAAATAACATTATTATATATTCATTAAAATAAACGGTTATAAAGCATTCAGCATTAAAGATGTTTAACATTATATTTCATGGATTTCATTTTATTTCACATAAAAAATAAGGATAATAACAATAATAATAATAAAGTACATAATAAAAACACGAGTAAATAATGTGTCAATATGTGTTAACAAATGTTTAATATAATTTTCTTTTTTTGACACTGGTACTATTATGCATATTAGTAAATGATATGTTCAATTGATATGTGGTGTAAGGGATAAATTTACTTTTGTAAATTTCTTCAGAATCTAATTGATGCGTAGTGAAAGTGTTAAATTTGCTTCTATAA